TGACACGATCGCTCCTAAGCGTCCTCTCCCGCCAGGCAGAGCCCACTCTTCCCCTTGGTATACACCTGAATTGCAGGCGATGAAGCAGGCTGGGAGACGGCTAGAGCGTAGGTGGAGGAGATCACGGGATGAATCTGACCGGACACACTTAAGAGCCCATTATTGGGCCTATGCTGTGGCGGTGAGGGCGGTGAAAAAGAAATTCTTTTCCGTTTCCATTGCCGCCCCAAAATGCTGTCCGGCGGAGCTTTTTCGAGTGGTACAAGGCCTGGTCCGCCCTGGCCTTAAGAAAGATCTGGTTCCACCCTTGAAGGCCCGCTGTGACGACTTTGCCAAGCATTTCAGGGAGAAAATTGCTCAGATTCGTCACGAGCTAGACTCTACTAGTGATTCAGGGGCTTCTGGGGAGATACCAATGTTGCCGTCTGGTCCAAAATTAATGGATGAATTTCAGTTATTGCGGCCTGATGATGTGGACAAGGTGCTTGGACGAGTACGTCCCACCACTTGCCTATTGGACCCTTGCCCATCTTGGTTAATAAACAACGCCAAGCACGGGATTGGGATCTGGATCTTGGAAGTGGTTAACGCTTCTCTGAGGGAGGGTCAGATACCTGCCCCTTTAAAGGAGGCGGTAGTCCGACCGGTCCTGAAGAAAGCGTCACTGGATCCAGAGATGGCCACTAACTATAGACCAGTGGCCAACATCCCATTTCTGGGCAAGGTGTTGGAGCGGGTGGTGGCGGGACAACTCCAAGCACTCTTGGATGAAACTGATTATCTGGACCCATTTCAGTCCGGCTTCAGACCCGGGTACGGTACTGAATCTGCCTTGGTCGCCCTGTACGATGACCTGTGCAGGGAGAAGGACAGGGGGAGTGTGTCCCTGTTGGTTCTTCTGGACCTCTCAGCGGTTTTCGATACCATCGACCATGGTATCCTTCTGGATAGGCTAGCGGGATTGGGGGTCGGAGGCACTGCTTTGCAGTGGTTCTGCTCCTATCTCAATGGCCGATTCCAGAAGGTGGTGCTGGGGGACTATGGCTCTGCACCATGGCAGCTATGCCATGGAGTACCGCAGGGGTCCATTTTGTCCCCTTTGCTGTTTAACATCTACATGAAACCGCTGGGAGAGGTCATCAGAGGTGTGGGCTGCGGAATCATCAGTATGCTGATGATACCCAGCTCTACCTCTCGTTTTCCACCAATCCAGGTGAGACAGTGGCTGTGCTGAACTGGTGCTTGGCTGAGGTAATGGGCTGGATGAGGGCCAATAAACTGAAGCTCAATCCAGACAAGACGGAGGTCCTGTTGGTTGGCAGATCGGGCTTCGGGGAGGGTGAATTGAACCTAGTCCTGAATGGGGTTGCACTCCCTCTTAGGGACAAGGTCCGCAGCTTGGGAGTGCTCCTCAACCCAGAGCTTTCACTGGAAGCTCAGGTGACAGCGGTAGCGAGGAGCGCTTTCTTTCAGCTTTGGCTGATCCATCAGCTGCGCCCCTACCTGGAGTACGACTGCCTGGCGACAGTGACACACGTGTTGGTGACTTCCCGACTTGACTTCTGTAACGCGCTCTACGTGAGGCTACCCTTGAAGACGGTCCGGATACTTCAATTGGTTCAAAATAGAGCTGCCAGGCTGCTGACATGACTGGTCGTTATGTTCACATGACTCCAGTCCTCTGTCAGCTTCACTGGCTTTCCATTGAAGTCCGGGCCCAATTCAAGGTGTTGGTGATGACCTATAAGGCCCTAAACGGCTTGGGTCCTGGTTACCTGAAGGAGCGCTTACGTCCATATATGCCCTCCCGCCCCTTGAGATCTGCGGGAGAGGCCCTTCTCCAGGAACCCTCCGTGAAGGAAATTAGGAGGGTGGCTACTCGGAGGAGGGCTTTCTCTGCGGTGGTGCCCAATCTATGGAATGCGCTCCCCAGAGAGGTCCGCCTGGCACCGTCGTTATTTGTTTTTCAGCACCAGGCGAAGACCTTTTTATTCAAATGTCATGTTAATTGTTAATAGTATTTATTCATTTTATTCTTTGGCCAGGGCGACTTAATTTATACTGTTAATTTATATTATTCTATGGAAGTTTATTTATGGATGTGAGCCGCCCCGAGGCTTCGGCGAATGGGGCGGCATAGAAGTCTCCTAAATAAATAAATAAATTTAGGTTGTTATTTCAGTACACCAGTGCTGATCTAGAGTCTGCCCCTACATTTTAGATGCACGCAATTTGGGCTGGATTGTGCCCTGTGTTTTTATTATTTATATCCTATTCTCTTTCTCCAAAGCTTAAGGGGGCACAGACATCACTTGTTAGGCATATGGACATCTTGCAAGTCTCTCTATAGCAGAGGTCCTCAAACTTTTTCGCCAGGGGGCCAGTGGAAAGGTGCCAGTGCTGGGCGCAGGCCGGAAAGGTGGTGCTGGCAGTGCACGTGGGCCGGTGAGGGGGCGGGCGCAAGGTGAGGGGCGGCGGACGCGCACTGCGAAGCGAGGCGTGGGCGGGCGTGTGCCACAAGGCGGGTGCACGAGGCAGCAGCTCGCTCGTTTGGAGATTGTTTCCTCCGAGCAAGCAAACCGCTGCCTCCCTGCACGCAGGGCGAGGTGGGCGGCGGCGGGCACGTGTATGGCGTGTCCATGTGGGCATAGTGGGCCAGATAAATGGGCATGGAGGGCTGGATCTGCCCCCCCCCCGCCATAGTTTGAGGACCCATGCTCTATAGTTTGCTCAACCCAGTGGCCTCCAGCAAAGGCTAGGGATGATGGGATTGTAGTCCAACATAGCTAGAGGGCATTAAGTTGGGAAAGTTTGATATATACTGTACTAGTTGGACCTGCAATAAAATGTTGCTTTGCATCTTCACCTCTGAAGATGAATGCTCCTGTGTTATTTTGACGAAGTTTATATCCTGCATTTCCACTAAGACAGTACTTAGAGTGGTTAACAGTAAAATACAGGAACCACAACAGTTATAGTTAAAACGCACCTAATTAAAAACCCATAAAAATAAAAGCACATCAGAAAGAAAGAAGAAATAGCACTCATTGGATTAAAAATCCAATATAGCAGCAAATCAGTTTAGATGCCACAGGCCTGCCTGTCTGAATCAAAGTGCCTCTGCATGCTGGAGGAAGGGTAGCAGAGAAAGCAATCCAGACTCCCTTGGAGACTGCCAGAGCTCAGGAGCAGCTATGAAGAAGGCCACCCTTGCTCTTGTTTCCACCAAGCGTGCCTCTGATGGTGACCTGGGCCAAGGGGTGTGAAGCCCAGGCAGGCTGCAGCCCCTGAAATAGCCTGCTCCCAGTCCAGATTCAGGGTCCCCGCTGTGCCATTCCATGTTGCCTTTGCAGCTGAGCACATTCTGCATTCAACCGTCCTGTAACAATCAGGGTAAACTTGCACAGAGAAGAGGCGCCTGTCATCAACAGGCCCCCAGAGGTCTGGGTGAAGGGCCATCTCCCTGCACATTATAGTTCCCTACCTCTACTTTAGGGCTTGTCGTTTAGTTTCTTTGTACTCCTCCATGCTCCAGGGTTGAACTTCTTGGTTTTCCCAAGCCTGAGGACATCTCCCTCTTGTGCCTGGGCGGTGCTGTTGTAGCGGCACTTGGAGAACTGAAATGGCTCTGGTAGGGTGATGCTCCCAAGATGGTGCTAGATCGCCTGGCAGGAATGTGGCATTGCCCTAGCTTGCCTAGAGCAGCAGCCCCAGCGACCGATGGGGAGCGGGAGAGGAGCACCAGGTGCATCTGGTTGGAGCAAGGCCTGCAGCTGTGTCCTTCACATTTGATTTAGCTCAGGGGCTGCTAACCTAGCACCCCCCTAGCATTTTGTACCACAACTCCCATGCCCCAGCATCTTGGCCATTGACCAAGGATTGTGAGAGCTGAAGTCCAAAACATCTGGGGGCCTGCACTAGCGTAGCTTCTCATTCATGGGTGTGGGGCCTAGTGGCTAAGCACACTGGCGCAAGACCCAGCCACAGGCAGCCATGAAGCCTAGTGGGTATCCTTTAGTCAGTTGCTCTCCCTCAGTCTATCCTCCCTCACATGGTTGTTGCAGAGATAGAATTAGGAGAAGAGAGCCAGGGTAGTGCAGTGGTTAAGAGCACTTAATCTGGGCTCTAGTCCCAGTTCAGCCATGGAGCTCACAGGGAAACTTTGGGCTGGTCACTGACTCAGCCCAACCTACCTCACAGGGTTGTTGTGGAGATAAGCTTGAGAGCGGCAGGAGGAAAGCAATGTAAACCACTAAGAGTTTGTTGTAAGGAAAAAGTGGGATATAGATCTAATAAACAAAGTGCCTTAAAGGAAAGACAGGCTAGAAAAAGAGATGTCTGCAGTGTTACCTTTCCCCAACAGAGACCTGTGTTATTGCTGAGATCAAGGCAGAAGGAGGCCTTGCGGATTGCTCTGTAGCAGCAGCCTGGGAGTTGGCCTCCTCTGTGGCAGCACCAGCTTTATGGAAAGCCTCTCCCCACCTTGTGTTTCAGAAGGGCTAACCGTGACTCTTTTAGGTTCCTATCAAATGCCCACCTCTTTATCCAGGCCTTCCCTGAACAGCTGGGCTGCCCAGTTTGCTATTATGGCACCTTGAGTGCTTGGTTCTAATGTTTTTATATAGATATATACACATATTTTATTCCTATTATACTGTAGAGGTGCTGCTGAAATTGGATAACTGGCATGTACACACACATCAACACAGACCTATTGTTAAGAGCCCGGTTTTCTACACGTGGCCACTCTGACTGTGACCAAGAAACCACCCAAGGCAGGGCTGTGACTTGGGGATGATGCCCTTTGCCTGCATACAGCACCTTCCTTGCATTACCAGCAGCTGGGCCATCCTTCCTTTTCTGGGTTTCTCTTGGCAGGTGAAGCCCCTCATCACCATGGAACAGTTGCTGTGGGTGAGTGGCCGCGTGATCGGGGAAGTGAACACCTTCCGGATCCCCCTCATTGCAGCAACGACTCGTGGCATCCTGTTGGCCTTCTCAGAAGCCCGGAAGAATTCCCCCTCTGACACTGGAGCTAAATTCATAGCCTTTCGCAGGTCGCTGGACAAAGGTTTGAGAGGCTAAAGGTGGGGAGGAGCAGAAGGGAAGGAGGCGCGGGTGTGCATAGCAAGGAAGGTGTGATAGCGGGCAGCTGAGAGGAGAAGGCGATCCAAATGGCGATGCAGCTGGCAGTCCTGCCTTTTGGGCTGGCTCTTTTGGCTACTGGTTTTAGAAAGCTACCAGCAGGGATGCGATTTGACTGATACTGCAAGGAATGAGGCTTCTGGGATTCATAAGCCACCTAGAATCCTTAAGCTTACATACATTCCTTCTATAACTGATGCACTGCAGGAAACACAAGACAGGTATATCCACTAATGTTCAGGTATATCTGCTCTCCCCCATGCAGTGTCTTCCAGATGTGCAGGACCACAGCTCCCATCATTCTTGGGGGTTTGTACAAAGATGAGAGTTGCAGTCCGGCACATGAGGAGGACACTGGTAGGTTGGCTTGAGGACCTGAATGTTGCCACTAAGGGAGACTGGTTTCTCCCAATGCTTTTGTTTCTGCTCTTCCACTGGCTGCAGATGATAGGAGTTGTGGTCCAAGATGTCTGAAGAACCCCAGGTTATGGGAGGCTGTATTGGACTGCATTTTATCTTTGTTTGTTTACTACTTTGATTGGAAGCCACCTTGGGTGCAGTGTGTGCAAAGGAAAGGTGAGGCATGGATGTCTATAATAAGTTCAACTTGCTTTCTGCCTGCATTTTCCAGGTGCTACCTGGAGTCCAACGTCATTCATCGTTGATGATCATTTTGCAAGAGATGGCCTGAACCTTGGGGCCGTGGTGGTAGATTCAGAAAAAGACTGTGTGTTCCTCATATATTCTTTCTGTGCCCACTGTTCCCGATACTGCACCCCCAGCACCATGATCATTCGCAGCTGCAATGACGGGGTCACGTGGAGTGTTCCCCGGAACCTCTCTGAGGAGGTCGGCACCACCGCATTTGCCCCTGGGCCAGGTTATGGCATTCAGGTGAGCACGTGTATGCCGGGTGTAGGGTTACGGATTGCTTTGCCATTTTCCTAAAACACAGGTTGAATGTCTGCCACAATTCCACAGGAGTGTAAGAAGAGAACATTGAGTGTTCACTGGCACAGTTTCTTGACAGTTTAAACTTTCACTTAGTATAAGAGCAAGTTCCTAGCCCTCATGACTGTGTGAAGTCCTTGAAAGTGCATGGGCAAGAGCCACTAAAATCTCAGAAGCTTGAGGAGTCAGTACAGACTTCGGTACTCGGCGTAGCTCCTTTCTCCCCTCCATCCCCATCCTTGACTAGCAACACCAAATAGATTATACAACATAGTAAACCCTGCAGAATGTATTGTTCAAAAAGACAAACTGTGCAATTTTGTTCAGTTTATATGTTACATGCTTTCCACTTGGGAAAGCAAGCAGTTTATGGGAATCACACCATCACTGTCCTGGTCAGAATCTCCTCTGTTATCTCCAGTCAAGGTTTGGAGATAACAGCAGGGGGGTGGGGGGGGGGATGAGAGTGAAGCCAGAGACTCAGCTGGGGCAGGAAGGAGGAGCCCCTTCTTTTAGTACCAGCAAGCTTTTCTTCATCTTTCTCTGACAATGATGAGAAAAGCCAAAAGCAAACAAAGGAGATACCTGACTTAGCCCTCCCAGGGCACAGCTGTCATAAAATGGAGGGTGCTACTCAAAAAGCCACATTCCTAGTTTCATCAGGTGATCCCTGTTGTAACAAAGGGATTAGAAGAAGGGCTAATTATCCAAACCGGTCTCCATGCCTTTACTGATTGTGTCGTGCCAGTGGGACCCACCGGTCATTGGAATCAGCTAACAATCCCTGGAGCAATCTGGGAAGCGAGCTGAAGCATTTGTTTCAGGACAAAATTGGTTAGCAGGACTTCCTTATAGGAGCTCTGAATTCTGGGTCATTCCACTTGCTTCAGGGTGCGCTTACTTCCCAGTGTACTACAGTGGGTCCCACTGGCACATGGGCAGTGCTGGACGCTACCCAGGAGCTCCTGTCCCATTCTTAATGGAGAAGAGGGGCTTGCATGGAAGCCAAGGTTCCGGTGAGTGGAAGGGGAGGGTTATGCAAGGGCAAACAGGCCTGATTTCTATTCAATGTTCTCTGGTCTCCAGAAGCGCTATGAGCCCAAGAAGGGGCGTTTGATTGTCTGCGGCCATGGGATGGAATGGAATGATGGGGTCTCTTGCCTCTTCAGCGACGACCATGGCCAGAATTGGCGGTATGGGCGGCAACCTTTGCACGGAATCCCATACGGTCACCCGAAAGGCCCCAACGACTTCAATCCTGATGAGTGCCAGGTGGGTGTGGCTGCCGGTGCTGGCATGTCGCCACACTGCTGCAGGGAGCAGGAAGGAATCGCAAAGTTTCCCAAGGGCTTGCACTTGCCTGGATTAAAATACATTCTTGCTGGCATTTCTTTCTTAGAAATGATGGTTTTGGGAAAGAGGGGCTGGTTACGGGGGTACTCACTGGGATAAAAACATTCTCCAGTGGATGTAAAAATGTTCTACAGTGGACATAAAGCTAACCAGTCCATAATTCCCCATGACCCCTCTACTACCCTTTTTGAAAATTGGGACCATTGACACCACCCTCCAGTCCTCTGTCTATACTGTACACCACATGCGGTAGGTATGAGATGAATTTTTCACATCTACCTCAATTAACAGCCTCTTTGGAAGAACAAGGCAGCTTGGACATTCCACAGCAGGCCTGATTTGCAGTTGCCAGAGTTGCTCTTCTAGAAAACCTTGATTAATCCCCTCCGGATCCATAGATACATGCTTCCCTTGTTGCTAAAGAACCCTCACTAAACTCGAGCACTGATTCTATGAAAACGCTAGGATTGATACTCTGGCTGATGAGACAGTCTCCCAGGATCAAATCCAACTGATTAAGATGGAGGTTCTTGGATAATTCACCAGGCATGCTTCTGTCTCTCTGCTGAGGTTGGTTCTGTCTTCACCGGTGATTTTGCCGCACCCAAATAACAAGGTGTTACTTAAATCTATGTAATCTTCATCATTTGCTGCAGTGAAGAAGTCTAATGGTGTAGATTTCCGTTAGGGCTGACAAAGGGAATACCTTAATAAAAAAGCAAGCTTCTTGCAGTACCCATATGTGTAGGGCTAATTTGGAATAGATCAAGTTCACATTTATTACATTTTTTCAGAGTTATTATGGCAGTGCTCTATTATTTATTAAATGTATATAAAAGCTGTCCCATTAGCATTATGCTCTCTAGATGACTATTATGAAAAAAATCAATAATATTAATAAAATAGTACAGTTAAAAATAAATTATAGTTATAATAAATAAACAGAATAAGATACAATCTATTGAATCAACAAAATGTAAATTAATAAAATTAATAAATAAAAATAAAACCAGCGCTTTCGATAAATAGTTTAAGTAGTGTCATAAGGGTGTCAGAAGAGAAAGGTTTTTGTCAGGGACCTAAAACTCAACCAAGTAGGCTCCTGATGGATCTCCAAAGGCAAGGCATTCCGTAATTGGGGTGCCACCACAGAAAAGGCCCTCCTTGCAACCTCTCCCTTAACCTCCTTGTGGCGAGGAGCCTATAGGGGGGTTTCCATTGAAGATCTTAAGCAAAAGGCAGGAATATATGGAATAAGGCAACTCCCTAAGATAGTGTGGTCCCAAGCCATTTAGGACTTTATATGTCATAAACCTTTATATCAAGAATATATCTCATTGCTGAAGCAGCACACATCCTCTTTTGGCACCTCTCTGCTTCTGGTACTTTTTCTCTCAAGCATTTTTGATGGGTTGGGGTGAGACCATCTTACCCAGATGATTTTCGTTTTAGGCCCCTTCTGTTCTCAGTTCAGAACAAGCCTGACCCCTCTTGTTCAAGGCGGAGGATTCGCCCCTTTAAAAACTGCTTCAGCAATGTGGTCAGCCTCATGTTTAGCAGTACTGCAAGCAGCTGTTTTTGCACGGATCATGCAAATAGTCGCAGAAGGGGAAGAGGAGGCAGAGGCGAGAGGAACACCCAGCTCCTCGCCTCCCTCCCGTGTCCTAATCTGCTGTTCCTCCCACCTGCCTTTTTCTAGCCCTACGAGCTGTCCGATGGCTCTGTGGTGATCAATGCCAGGAACCAGAATTTCTACCACTGCAGATGCCGCATTCTGATTCGCAGCTACGACGCCTGTGAGACCCTCCCGCTGGAATTTGTGGACTTCGACAAGACCTTGGTGGACCCCGCCGTGGCTGCTGGGGCCCTCGTCAAATCTGGCCTCGTCTTCTTCAGCAATCCTGCTCATGAGAGCCAGCGTGAGTGAGCAAGTGAAGCGTGCGCATGCCCCCAACTAGCCTGACCGCAGCTGAAGCCCCTGTGGCAGTTCAGAGATTTTAGGAACCGTTTCCAAGGTGCTAGCAGAAGGGGAGGTTGGTGCACCCGGGAAGGCGATTCCTGATGGCTCCACTCTAAGGGATGGCCTGGATCCTAGGTAGGCTTCTGGGACTAGTAAGGCTCCTCTGGTTTGCAGTCAGGACAAAGATCTGGCAGAGGCATGGGAGACCTCACCCCAAGGTACCCTTCCGATCTATACAGACCACAGAGTGGGTCCCCCAAGCCTCCGGGGCAGGTTTTGGGGAACATGCATTGCTGCTTTGGGAAGTGGAGTAAACGTTGATTCGATAAGTGCTGTGGTTGCAGCCTTGCCACAGCGTGGGAAGAGCGCAGGTATCCACACCATACCAGGCCTGGCCCTTGGTCCGCTCAGCTCACCCGTCGGCACCGACTGGCAGGGCTCTCCAGGGCTTCAGGCAACGTCTCCTCGGTCCACCTGGAGAGGCTGGGGACCTTTTGCATGCAAAGCACGCCCAGTGATCTTCCGCTGAGCCACAGACCTCTCCAGTTTTGGAGGTGTCCCCATGCCACATGGTGTCAGGGACTGTCACAGGGAAGGAGCCACTGGCTCTTTGCAGAGCTGGGCCTTTTCCAGAGGGGTGGAGCAAGTGACTCAGAAGCCATGAAAACATGGGAATATGAGGAGGCTGCTTTATAACAACAGGTTGGTCTTTCCCCCCACTTAACCCAGTATTCTCTGTACTAGGAGTGTTAAACCTCTTTTGGCCCAGGGGCTAAATTTCAGACAAGCACTCGAGGCAGGGATAGACATGGTCAGAGGCAAAAGGGCAGGATCCAAATATCAAAAATCCCAGCCTTTTAGATTAAAGCTTTCGTTGTCAATTCCTAAGCCTTAGGAGGCACTCAGTGTTTTAGAATGGGGAAAAGGCATGCAAAAGCTGGGAAAGCATCTATTCTGCTTTGGCTGGATCAGACGTGGTCTCAGAGCAAGCCGTGGGCAATCAAAAAGATAAACCAGGCCCCCTGAGGAACTGTCCTGCGGCTCGCAACAGGCGTGGCAGCCCAGTCAGTGCCTGAAGGACCATGCGGGCTGCAGGCTGGAACAGTTTCTCAACCGATCTCTAGCTGCACCACACTGATCCTCAGTTTAAAAACCATTGTAAAACAAATGAGGTGCGATAAGGAGAGAAACATCATAACCATAAGGCAGGTCTGCACAATTCACTTTCACAGACGTGGTGATGGCCATGTGTTGTCTTCGCTCCTTGCGCAGGGGTCAACCTGACGCTCCGCTGGAGTTTCACCAATGGCTCTTCGTGGTGGAACGAGACACTGCAGATCTGGAGTGGGGCCAGCGGCTACTCCTCCATGACGGCCCTGGATGGAACGGCCCCCGAGGACGCCCGCAGCCTTTTCATCATTTATGAGAAAGGGCGGCACTCGGTAACCGAGAGCATCTCGATAGCGAAGATCAGCATCAACGGGGAGCTCTGACCCAGTGTGGGCCCCTGAACTGCTCTGCCATTCCCAAGTGCCTTACTCCGCCTTGAGTCCTGGGACCACTGGGCTGGGACAGAAGGGAATTTTCTATGGGCGTGGGGAGAAATCAGCAACCCTGGTACAGGGGGCAGCCCTTGTGCTGGAAGGGCACTGGGAAGGCCCAGCAGCGGCAGGAGCACATCCTGGATCTCCTGCCTGCCGCCCTGGTGCTCCCAGCACGTGGCTTCCTTTGCCGTTTCTGCCACAACTGTATCGGGGTTGCCATTCTACCTCAGCAACAATTCTGATGTTAGATGCTGCTACTGAATTTTTGGGTGGGTGAAGATTTGTGGTGAGGGAGAATATGTGAGAGGAGGAAGAAATAAGCTCAGAAGAAAGACTGACAGGGAACAAATGGTAATCCAGAAAGGATCATTTCCTATCAGCGCAATCAAATAAAACAACAACAGCGGAAAAGATTTGTAATAAATAGTTCAATCCTCCACCATCACCACCACATTACATTTCTGTACTGCCTATAGCCAAAGCTGTCTGGGCAATTAATCAACATTAAGTCACCCATCCAGAATTCAGCCAAGACTGACTTTGCTTAGCTTCCAAGATTAGGCAGGATCAGACACTTCATTTTTGTTTCTAAAGAAGCGGGACAAGTAAGAGTCACCTTGCCAGGCAAGACCAGGGGACTGTCCAGCTAGCCCGATGCTTCGCAACACTCACAAACAGGATGTAAAAGGAAAGAAGGTCACCTCTTGTTCATTTCTACCCAGCATCCCAAGATTTCAGACATTGGTTTGTATATTTAATGTATGTACAATATTTAATGAAAGATTTTTATTCAGCTCCTCTTCTGAAAAAGCTCATGAAGCAGCTTACGAAAATTAATCAGCCCTGCCTTCAGACTTACACTTGAATAGACACAGCACGAAAGGAGAAAAGATTGGGAGGGAGGAGGAAAGCAAACACGTTCAGGCTCCACTTGGAGCCAAAGTTTGTGTGAATTTACTTTCTGGCAGGGAAAGCAGTCTTCCTGTAACAGCTGCTTCTTGGGCTGGTGATATTCCTCTGCTTCTCCTTGCTGGGATAGTCTTCCTAGTAAGGGGAGGAGCAGTCTGCAGTGGCCCTTGGCAGCCCAGAATGGGCTGACCATCCGCTCTGCAGTCCCCAGGCAACACAAGGTTTCTGTTTAACTCCTGTGGCTACTTGCGGGTGTTGGGGCCAAGCCTTCTGCATGTCTTTTTAACCTAATGGTCATCATAACATTTGTGGTAGTTTTTTACGGTCATGTCACTGAAAATGAGTCCTGATCTGGGGCCAAAGTAGAGAGGAAATGCTGTGGGTGTTCTTTCTTACTTGACTCTGTAGATGTGCAATGTTTTCATTTTCATGGACTTTTATCAACAGCCACACCTCAATAAATGATTCATCATACTTTCTTTTTTCTGTAAGAAAGTAGGAGCATTGAAAGAGTCCTGTTGGATCAGGCCTACCTAGTACACGGTTTTACTGCCATGGTGGCCTACCAGATCGCAGTGGAAGTCCCCAAGCCAAGCATGGCTAGCAACTCACAATTGACAATTAGGTTGCCTCTAATAGTAGATACAACTATAATTACCAGGAGCCATCAAGAACTTTTTGCTCCATCATTAGTCCAGTCTTTCTAAAAGCATCCAAATTGCTGGCTATTGCTACATCTTGTAGTTCTTTTATTTATCCTGAATCTCTCACCAGTTTCAGAAGAATAATATTTATTTATTTAATATAGTGGCCCATGCTCATAGACTCTGGATGGTTTACAATATAAAACTAAAACTGGAATCAGGCGAAGGAGAAACCAGACAAGCCCCAACGCAATCCAGGGGTCATCTCACAAAAAGCCCAAGAAACTAGGAAATCGGAGCAAAAGCAATGGGTGACTAGAGGTGGTACAAAGCTGGAGGCTTACAAGCGGGGGCCTTCCAGAGTCCCTGCCAGACCTCAAAATCTTCTGAAAGACATTCTCATGAGGAGAAGGTCTGTGCACCAGAAGTCCTTTACTCACAAGCAACCCTCCTTTGCCATGGGCACTCCCATTATCCTCACCCTCGTTTTCCATTCCATCCCCAACAGTCCTTTTCGCGCGGCCACTCAGTTCCATCATCCAGCTTTGTCTCCTTTGCTCTCTCCACCCCGATGGTTTTACTTACACAAACCACAGGAGTCTTCGGGCCTGTTGATGCCTTCTTTGTGTGCCAGGGCAGTGCCACAAAAGCAGTGACACACACAGTGCCCGAACGTAAGAAAAGGAGTGATTCTGCCCCTGGACAAGGAAAACCATGGCTAATAGTCATCAGAAGGCCTAAAATTACATTCCTATAATCCCCTTTAAAGCTTAATTACCGAGCTTACTGTCTTTAGTTTTATTACTTATTTAATTGATATCCCGCCTTTTTTCTTTTCAAGAACTCAAAGTGGCTCACATCATTCCCCCCTCCTGCTCATAGTCTTATCCCCACAACAACCCTGTGAGGTGGGTTGGGCAGAGAGTCTGTGACTGACCCAAAGGCACCCAGTTGGCGGCATGGCTGAGCGGGGACTGGCACCCAGATCACCTGAGTCCCCGTCCCGCACTCTTAACCACTGCACCACCCTGGCTCCCATTGCTTTGTTTCACTGATGGTGGCAGCATTAAGGGGCCTCGTTTGAGGTTGGTCAGAACTCAGCAGCTGGACTCTCCTCTGAATTGCCCCTGGAAAACATGACTTTGTAGCCCTTGAATACAAACAAGGCAACATCGGATCAGGTCACACTCTGAGCAGACCGGGGTTAGGCTTGGCACATTTCTAACTTGATTGAGGCCAGTTCCTGGAACAAAAACGACCTTTGCTCCACAGTGTACACAGTATTTCACACCATATCCATGGTTTAATAAGGTTTTGGTTCAGTTTTCCCCAAGCTGGTGCTCTCCAGCCGTGTTTGCCTTCAAGCTTCACCCCAGCCCTCATCCCCTGCCCAGCATGACTGTGTTTGGGGATAATAGGAACTGTGGCCTGACACATCTGGAAGACAACAAGTTGTGGTGTACATAGTGGTTAGCAGTGTGGGACTGAAAGTCAAGAGGTCTAGGTTCTCGTCCCCACTCTGCCATGGAGCTCGCTGGGTGACTGGGTTGGTCAGAAACACTCAGCGCAGCCAACTCACAGGGTGGTTGTTCTGAGGATAAAATAGGAGGAGGGGGAGAATTATGTAAGCCACCTTAAGTTCCTTGAAAGAAACAAAGGTGGGATTTAATGGAGAAGGAGAAACTTGGGGATTTGGAGCTGTAATGAAGCATCCAGGATGGGAAAGTCTATTTTGATTCTGGTGTGCTCTATAGGGAAGGAGAACTATTAAAATGGCCTTTGCGTTTATCAGGTATGAAAGATTATTATTTGCATATCTATACTGCTCAATAGCCAGAGCTCTCGGGGTGCTTCACAGTACATAAACACTGTAAATAGAGATGGCAGAATACCACGGAGGGTTGCTGTATACTACTAAAAACAATGTCATTAAAAATACCAGACATGTTCAAACGGCAACAAACATGCATGACCCATCATATGCCATTAAATCCCAGTATTAAAACAAAGCAACTCTGTCAGTATCTCAAAAAGGAATCTATCTTGTAGTTCCACTAATATGCAACTGGATTGATTAATCAACTAAATGCACAATGCTATGCAAGTTTAGACAAAAAAGGGCCTATGACTCCCAGCATGCCCTGGCTGGCTGGGGCATGATGGGAGTTGTAGGCTTTTTTTTTTCTTATTTAAATTTGCAAATTATACACTTAATCAACTGGCAGTCATATTGGGCATACTTTCAAAAGATCTTATGTAACCGTTTTTTTAGTGTGTGCTGCTTTGGTCAGGAGTGATGAAGAGGGGACGGGGCTTGTGAAGAAACACACTGCTTTAGGTCTTATTGCTCCTATATTTTGTAAGTGACCTCCCTGTCAGGTCACCATATAAGTAAAAAAGCCTAAAGCCTGGCTTTCTTGCTAGGTATTGGGCATGACAGTTGCTATAGTACAGAGGTTTCAAGCTAGCACTTTAAAAATGACTAGGATAGGAAGTTGCCTTTATTTATTTAAGCTTTTCTATACCATTCATTAGCACAGAGCTCTCAGAACAGTGTACAATTTAAAATCAGGTTTACAATTTGGATTGGTCTGAGGGTTAACCAACGGGAGTTGCTGTTAGAACAGCAACCTATAGAAGAACAATGTATAAAGAACAGAATTGGTCAGAGATTCTGACCAGGATTGAAAAGAAAAATCCATTTGTTAACGGAAGGAATTGGAAAGGTCAGCTGAAAGAAGGTGCTGTCATGCCATAATCAGTGTGCGGATGACGACCTGTGAGACCAAAGGTCCAATTTGCAGTCAAACTCACTGAGGGAGCGTATGATATTTAAGCCAGGCCTTCCCTACAGGGTTGTTGGGAGGGCAAAAGACATCAAGAGGAATGGTGCACATCAGCCTGAACTCCCTAGAGGAAGGGAACGGGATAGAAATGAATACATTATCAGCATGTCGATAACCTAATGGTTCTCCTCAGTCCTAAGCAGTCAAACCTTGCCAAGGATGATATTTTCTCATTCTTGCAGGCCTGAAACTCTGACATGACAGGCTGTGCCTCCCATATCTGTCAAAATATATTCCTATATAGCTATTAAAAAGGCTCCACATCCTTTTACCAGTTTTGCTGGCTATGGGCTACCTCCTACACCAGAGGCAGCACACACCTGCACACACCTGTTGCTGAGGAGCTTGGGCAGACAGAGGTCTTGCACCCCTCCTGCTTGTGGGATCCTGTGGGCAGCTGGTTTGCCACCGTGTGCACAGACTGCTGGACTAGACGGACCCTTGCTCTGATCCAGCAGGGCTTTTCTTGTGTTCTTATGTTCTAACTCTACTACATTTGATCACCCACTGCAGTTAAGCACTGTGGGGCATTGACAGAACCGTCGGAAAGCCGGAGGGCACTAGGACCTCGGGCTGCCTTGCTAGGATGTGGTACCCAGCTGAGTGGATGCAGGAGGATTAGCTGACTTGAGCATCATTTCTAGGAACCATGGCCAGCCAGACGCAGGGAATTCAGCAGCTGCTGCAGGCAGAGAAAAGGGCTGCCGAGAAGGTGGCAGAGGCTCGAAAACGTGAGCTGGGCTTCCTTTTTCTCAGGGGAGGTGGTGGAAAACAGCCGAGAAGGGTGGAAGGTGAAAACACAAATACTTGAGTTCTCTGGAGGAACACTGGGGTGGCGTCGGTTATTGCAAAGGGGAACGGCTTAGAACTACCCTGTTTCCCCAAAAATAAGACTTAACCGGAAAATAAGCTCTAGCATGATTTTTCAGGATGCTTGTAATATATGCCCTACCCCCAAAATAAGCTCCAGTTAAGGTAGTCAGCCTGATGGACGCATTTAGTACGACTGTTGCAACACAATACAGGGTTTAAAGTGTTATGACGATGTTTCAGAGAAAGATGGCATGATTGTATTTGAATAAATGTAGATTTTTCTACATGAATGAATGTAGACTGTTGTACATGAAAAAATAATACATCACCTGAGAATAAGCCCCAGTGACTCTTTTGGAGCAAAAATTAATATAAGACCCGGTCTTACTTTCGGGGAAATACGGTAGGATTCTTGGGGGCTATGGGTGGGCAAACATTGGAAAGGCAGGATTTTTCATGACTTGGAGAGACCAGGCTCTGAATGTGTTTTTGAGGCCTCAGTTCTCCTCACGGTGTTTGATTCTGCAGTGTTGACGTAATCCTGCACACTGTCCGAAGCCTGGAATGCGCCTCCCATGCACACGCACACAGGAGCACGCGCACCCATTGCATGGGGTCTGGAAAGGGGGTCCCTCCATCTTGTCCTTCTGAGAGTCTTCCTCCTCCCCCCTGCCAGGGAAGGCCCGGCGGCTGAAGCAGGCCAAGGAAGAAGCCCAGGCCGAAATTGAGCAATACCGCTTGGAGCGCGAGAGAGAGTTCCAGCAGAAGCAGCAAGCGGTGAGATGGCGGTGGGCTGCTGTGTTTTGGGGGACTATTATGGCCCGCGCGCGTGTGGCAAATGGAAGACGAGCCTCAGGATCGGCAGCATAAGAGGCGGGGATTTGGAGGCTTTCTCAAGATGTGTTTAAGGGGGGGGGGTAGTGATAGGAATTTGGAAGGGAGCAGTAATATCGGTGGTCAAAGGGGCAGTCAAGAGGCAGACGAGATATAGGGTGACTCTTCATTAGAAATTTCCCTATAGTCTTCCCTGACTTAGCGCCCTCCAGTGGTGCAGGACTGCAAATGTCATTTCCAGCGAGAGTCAGCCGCGCAAAAAAGTGCCTCAGCGACGTGGCACCAACACTTGCTTCTTAGCGGGGACGCGGGGGACATCTGCCCCCCACCCTCACCCCACCCCACCCCCACCCTTCTCTGCTCCCTCTGGGGTTAGGGGCAATCCTTACAGTAGCTTCAGGGTGAGAGATTTCATTTGGTTGATTATATTTTCATTCCGCACAATCACAGAAGCTCTTCAGTCGGTCGATTTACAAAGATTAAAAAAACCTTTAAAAATACATTATGCACAGTATAAAAATCATCTACACATATGCCAGCACTCAGATACATAAATATCTAAACATTTTAAACAAGGAACAATAAAGAAAAAATAATACATCCTCATATTTATTTATTTATAAGTGAATTTATACTCTGCTTAATCCAAAGTCCAGCAGGACTCTCTATATCAGAATGCAGGAGAACAGAGCAAGGGCTTAAACTGGTGTCAAAGAGATAACAGTGTCGTGCCAGGTAGGCCTTGCTGTAAAGTGCCTTCCAGAACTGGAGTCCACCACCAAGAAGGCCCTGTCTCTTATTGTGATCTTTTAAGCCTCCCTCAGAGGAAGAACTTGGAGGAGGGCCTCAGATTATGAACAGTGTGGAAGATGAATTAATGTTCACAGCAGCTATATGTTGTTCCCCAGTTTATTTGTGGCAGCTTAGTCATGAAAGGGCATTTAAGACAATTGCTATTATAAAGAATTACTCCTGGTGCAGAAGAAAACCATCAGAACTATTTCATAGAATCACAGGGGGAAGGGGCCCATGAGCCTATCAGTCCAGTCCCCTGCTCAACGCAGGACTCCAAGTTATTTATTTATTTATTTATTTAGTAGACTTATATGCTGCCCCATTCGCCTAGGCCTCGGGGCGGCTTAGCTGCCTAACTGATGTCCAGCCGGAACCTGGCTTCCTGTACCATAAGCCCCTTGTTCCATGTCCTGCACTTTGAGATGATTGAGGAGAGATCCTGGCCTTCCTCAGAGTGACAGCCTTTCAAGTACTTGCACAGGGCTCTCATATCTCCCCTCAGTCTTCTCAGGGCAAAACATGCCCAGTTCTTTCCATGATGGTCAGCTAAGCTGCCTGCATTTTTTGGACTATTCTTGGACATTTGCCTATGAGGGCTACCATGAGAGGGGCCATTGCTCCAAAATGTATTGCTGCACCACCAGCCAGTATTGTCAATTTGGGGAATTTTGGCATGGTTCTTTGAGGTATGGGAAGGACTCAAGGCTTGCCGAAGACATTAGCTGAGGATTTACAACTGCTAAGATCCTTAGCTAAAAAAGGAATATTCACAACTGGACTATGGTTATCAAAGCCCCAGAATGGGTACTTGAGAGGGGAAAAAAAGTCCCCATGTCTCATGCAGCGTATCCCTTGAGCCCTCCTTAAGCAGACCAATGGTCCATGTTGTCCGGCATCCTCGTCCCCACATAGCCAATGGGATACTTTTGGGAAATCCACAAACAAGAGAAGGCAGCGTCCTTTTTCTGCAGTGGGTCTCTTCCCCTGGTGACTTCTTTCTAATGCCATGTTGCTGTAAACATGAATTCTGTAACAGCCACCACAACTAAAAGTGTTTTTGCCGAAGTTGTTAATATATTAATTTGTGGGTGACACAGATCTCTTAAATTGTAAACTTTCCTTTATTCCAAAAAGGAAATTGTGAGAAAGCAGAAAATTATTTCACACCCTACTGTAATTTCAAGAGAGTCTTCCTTTCCTGCTTGCATCTTCTACCTGGTGCTACGTGTATGAATCCCTTGGCTATCTTAGTTTTGGAATAACCATGCTCTTTCCCTCCCCAGGCACTGGGCTCACAGGGGAACTTGTCTGCTGAAGTGGAGGCCCAGACCCGCAAGAAGCTGCAGGCTATGCAAGGAGGACAGAGCCGGGGCAAGGATCGGGTCCTGCGTCAACTTCTCACCCTTGTTTGGGATGTCCGGCCCCAAATGCACCCCAATTACCGCCTGGCCGTCTAGGGGATCCATAGAACCAGGCTGTACTTGCTACCTGATTACCTAGCGGGCCTTACCAACTCATATCCTCCATGAATCCCTGAGCCCTACAGATTTACCTGTACATGCCCCCAATCTCTCCCTAAATATCCCCTGAATCCTACAGATCTACTACAGAGCTGAACCACTTAAAGTTATATTTTACATATAGGAAGTTGTATATAAATTGATAATAATAACAACAACTTCTTCTGCTCCCAAAAACTTACAAGCAAGGGGGAAATTGTCTTCACAGCTACCATTTTTCTCTGAAAATATGACCAGGTCTTATATTAATTTTTGCTCCAAAAGACACACTAGGGCTTATTTTCAGGTGATGCCTTCTTTTTCATGAACAACCATCTACATTTATTCATGTAGAAAAATGTACATTTATTCATGTACAAAAATCTACATTTATTCAAATACAGTCATGCCATCTACTTCTGGAACATTGTCATACCTCTCCAAACCCCGAATTGTGTTGCAACTAACGTACTAAGTGCATCCATCTAGCTGACGATTTTAACTGGGGAAGAGCTTATATTACAAGCATCCTGAAAAATCATGCTAGGGCTTATTTTCCAGTTAGGTCTTATTATTGGGGAAACAGGGTATTAAAGATGCCCTGAGCACCCTCCCTAGAAAGAGATGCCCCACCTGTAAATCTGCATCAGTGGGCTAGTTCTCATCCAGCCCCATTTCATAGAATCAAAGAATAGTAAAGTTGGAAGGGGCCATGAAGACCCATGGGTCCAACCCTCTGCTGTTGCGGGTCACAAATTCACACCCTCCCACTCAGATGGCTGTCCAGTTTCTTCTTGAATGTCTTAGTGTGGGAGAGCCCACCACTTCTCTAGGCAACTCATTCCACTATTGTACTGCTCTGACAGCCAGGAATCTTTTCCTGATATCTAGCCGGAATCTGGGTTGTCGCAGATTGAATTGATTCTTCCATGTCCTACACTCTGGCATCAGTGAGAAGAGATCTTGACCTTCCTCTCTGACAGGCTTTGAGGTACTTCTAGAGCAGGGGTCTCAAACTCAACTTACCTGGGGTCAGCTGGAAGTAGAGTCTGGGTGAGGCTGGGCCGCATCAAGTATTCCACCCCTGCGCTGGCGGTGGGCCGCTCATCCCGCGTCGCTCCCGGAGGCTGGCCTGAGCGGCGCTTTGAAGGCCGCAGGGCCCCTCCCCTGTGCCGTGCCTGTCCCGGCAATTGGCCCGCGGGCTGTGAGTTTGAGACCCCTGTTCTAGAGGGATCATGTCCCCCCTCAGTCTTCTCAAGGCTGAACATCCCCAGTTCCCTCAGTCTCTCCTCACAGGACAATGTTTCCAAACCCTGGATCATTTTTGTTGCCCTCCTCTGGACCCTTTCTAATTTTTTTTCCTCTGCTCCCTAACCTTAGCTGCCCCATTTTTAAAGGAGTGAACAGTCAGGTCACCAGAACTGATCCCTCCAAAATGGGCCTGTTCCATCACAATTCTGGATTTGCCTGTCTGTGCTGCTCTGCCCCATGGCATGAAGGGGCCTGTCTAGGAAACCGGGAGTTCCAAGAGAGCCCCCTGGCTTCCTGCTGGTGTGTCTGTGTTTGCTGAAATGGTGGCTTGTTCTCTTTGCTGCACTGCCATTGTACCCCAATACTCTGCCTCAGCCTTCCTGCCTCCCCATCCCCAAATATATTTATTTACAACTTGATATTTCGACAATTGATTTTGAATATGGTTAATAAAATGTGATGTGTGGTTACAGTGCAGAAAAAAGTTGGTCCTTGTTCAGCTATACAGATTTCTCTTGAAAGGGGTGAGGTTCAGCAGTTTGAAAAGTGCACCTGGTGTCTGTTTAACCATCTTCGGGTGTTGCCAGGCAGATGGTTTCTAATGCTGCCCATCAAGGCTTTTTGCAGCCGTTCCAGCAACCCCACTGAATGGCTGGCTCACGGTTTGCTTGTGATCAGCTGAGACACTGCGTGCCGAGACACTGAGACACAGAAAAATGTCCCACAGCTGCCTGGAAGGATGTTGGGAGTTGTAGCATAGTCTTGTCTAAAATGCACAGGATTGTGCCTGGAAATGATTTTCACATGGAGAGTTGCCAAATGAGCTTGTGATGATAATGATGGTGATTAATGAAAGGTTTACATGACCTGAGGGGAAACCAGAGTACGTAGCTAAATTTAGGACTTTGCCTTGATCTCCATTGAATTTCATCTAGGTTTTAGCCCACCATTCTAACTTAGCAAGATCATTTTAAATCTTAATCCTGTCTTCTTGGCTGTTAGCTATTCCTCCCAGCTTTGGGTCACCAGTAAATCAAGGAGGCATCCCCTCTAAGCTCTCATTGTCCGAATCATTTATAAAAACCTTAGGACAACACAAGCTGCACTCAGAGCAAAGAAGGAAGAATTCTGATAAGGAGAAGCAGGGTGGAAAGGGCATTTTACACAGAACACCCATGGGAATGTAAGCATGTAGTTAACACTTATTTGGTAAGACCTTTATGGGAACCTCGCCTGGACACACAGGATAGAAAGCACCCAGCAGCAACCTGCATTCTGTATCACTGCCTGATGTAGCAAGCCATCTGCTGTCCATGAGTCTGGCCCTTCTTCTGGCTGCTCAGCAAAAGAACCTTTTCTCCTCTGCACAGATCTTGAACTCTTGGCCCAGGAGGACTGGGCATTCTCTCTGCTACATGCTCTGTCCTCCCTTTGTGTGCTAAACTCAAAACCGGTGTTTCTTTCCCCCATGGGCCATGGCTCTCCCTCCCACTCCACAGAGAGACTTTTCTGCCAGCGTACTGGGGGAGTTCTACCAGCATGGGGGTCCTGCTGTCGGCATGTCTGAAAATCAGCTGCTATCATGGAGCTTCCACCACTTCCCAAAGTCCTTAACCAGCAGATCCTGAGTAGAGGGCTCTGCCCTAAAGCTGGCAGATGTGTTCTCCATTGTAAAGTACACACAGTTCATTTTGGATCGTTACATTCAATGATATTTTATAGGCCAATTACATTTGCTCTAGTTTATCTTTAACCAGAAGAACAGCCCTTTTGTGTGTTTCTTTTAAATGAATGCAACTATATTCAGCCTATGATTGAGCTGATTTTTTTGAAAAAGAAGTCTTTTTATTCGATCATAAGAAGAGCCCCACCAAGGGTCCATTTCATCCAGCATTTTGTTCACACACTGGCTATCCAGCTGCCTGTGGGAAACCCCCAAGTAAGACATGAGTGTAACTGCATATCCCTGGTTGTGCCCCCTAACTGCCTTCAACGATGGAGTTGGCCAGGGCTGATAACTAGTATTCCAGCGGAATCTGTCAAACTGCTTTTAGAACAACCCAAGTTGTTGGCCATCACTACATCTTGGGCTAGTAAACAACGTACACTCCATGGGCCCCGTCCCTCAGTTAGTTTACCAGCTCCTCCTCCTCCTCCATGTTGCTGCCACTCGCTTATGTGGCCACCAAAGCGCCAGTGAGTAAGAAAGCATTAAGAGCTGTTTCTGCTCTTTCTCGCCACCACTGTTGTCTGGGGTGAAGCAAGAGCTAAGTGAACAAGCAGGTTGCAGTGGTGAAAAAGAGGAGCGACGGGGTGGGGCGGTCTTGCCAGTGGTTCCCTGCCAGAGTACCAGCCCTTTGCAAGATCATGCATATGTCACCGGCCCTGGTAGCTAATTCCATAGTCAGTGCCATATTACATGCTGTGTGAAGAAGGACTTCCATTTATCTGCCTTTTCTCTTGGACTATAGTTTTGGTACTGTTTCCAAAGGCAGGCTCACATACTGCATAATCCTGCTTGAGGGATCCTGTGGGCAGATGTGCGGAGTGCTGGACTGGATGGACCTTGGATCTGACCCGGCAGGGCTTTTCTTATGTTCTCATATTGGCTTGCAATAATCTAAATGGGAGATTATCAGAGCATGAATAGCTCTTGCAAGGCTTCCCTATGCTCTTTTGTATCATTGCTGGTGAACTCATACTGAATAGAACTATTCTTGGTGCTTGTTCATGCGAGTTTTACTCTGCCCTTCGGTGAGTAAAAACAAACTGGGAAATAGTTTTGCAGGCATATGCAATATCAGCTGCTGATATATTCTCAGTGAGGTAAACAGGTGATAAAGAAGAGCAGATCCTGTGCCTTTGTCAGAAAGAATTTCACCAGGTATAACTAAGCAAAGCTGCCAAAGACAGGACTCTCTGAAGGGCATTTCTGTGCATGCGCATCCTGTCACGCTCCAGGTGCACTCGCGGGAGACTCCCAGCACAGGTTATGCTGATGATTCAGACTGTGATGTTGAGGAGGAGCCTGTTTTTGAAACGGCTCAGGCTCCAGCTGCGGTTCAGGGTCCTGAGACTCAACGGAGGAGAGATCAGTCCAAGCGCAGGCAGCGAGATTAGTCAACCTGGCTGTGGGAAAGTTGAGGAGCTACAACCTGAAGGAGGAGGCGGGACATGGGAAGTCTCTCTAATGGAGAACTCCTGCCCCTTTGGGAGGTAGATCTGGTGACCCATCATGAGCACCAGAGGGAAGCCCTATTAGGGGCATGCCAGAGGAGCAAACGTGTCCCTGTTCTCCTAGTACACCTTCCTGGGAATTGAGGCACAGAAGGGCTTGTAAAGAATGCTTCGGGAAATGAATGGTAGAAAGGGTTCAACACTCCACTTTGTATATGCTCAGAGACTCTTGTGTAGCAATAAAGATCATTAAGGAAAGAAACACTGGTGAGGCTCATTTACTTGGAGGGAGAAACACAGATTGTGACAGGCATTCATTCACAGGGCCACTGTAAGTCAGAGATGACTGTACATGACAAAAATGTTTGACATAGAACCTGCTTGAAAGTCCCTCTGCAAACGATTCAAGGTGCAGATGCCCTCCCCTCCCTGGCTTTTCACTACTAGTACTTCTATTAGAACAACACCTACTATCCGTAGAACTTTACTAGGTCAACCATTGCCTTGTTTAACAAGGGTGGAGGTATTTTTGGCTAGAAATCCAAAGCAGCCATTGAGAGAAACTGATTAGAGGCAGGCACATGTTGGTGGAAACAATCACATAGCAGACATTCAAAGTACTGCAGTTCAATGCTCATACACTACATAGGTCCCTCTGGGAACAATCCTGTACATATATCATTATTCTGGTATCAGAAGTCACTGAAATAATAGAGATGGATCCCCTGAGATCAGTGGTGTGGGCACATGTCTTGCATTATACTGAAACTTACTGCATGCAAAAACGAAAGGTTTTCACGAAAGAATAAGCCATGGTGACTTAGAAACTTAGGTAGCTTATTGTGCTATCTGAACCTAGTGGCATGGTTTTTTTAACCATGTACAAACCACTTTGCTTGGGCTTACTGTGTTGTGTGAATCAGTCACTATGTGAATGAAAAGAAGAAAGTAATTGTGAGAATTATTTTTGAGAGGTCATGTTTTTATGCATTCAGAATCAGTCCATTGTAGATATTTAGTGGCTTAAGACTGTCTTCTCTTTATTTCATTGCAAGGAAAAGCTTAAGGTTTAGGTGACTGCTAGAGATATAAAAGCATTATATAATGCAAATGAAGACATCGCAATCTGAGCCACCATATTACTGGGTAAAAGGCTGATCAGATGGCAAGCAAGAAAGAATTTATGCGGAAAATTCTTAGGAAGAAAAGATCTTAAATGACACTTTTTTTCTGGCAAATTTCTCGGGCTTTTTAACAACTTAATTTGACCAGTGAAAGTCCTCCAACATAATATACACTTTGTGCTTCTGCTGAATTCCTCACATGCAAGTGTGCAAAATCTATGCCTTTCACATAGAGAGCGAGTGTAGTGCATTAGTTAAGAATACAGGACTGAGACTCAGGGGGTATGGGTTCAAGTCCCTGTTCAGTCATGGACCCCACTGGATGACTTTGGGCCAGTAACAGACCTACCTCACAAGGCTGTTGTTGTGAGGATAAGACTGAGAGCAGGAGGAGGAGAATGATGTAAGCCGCTTTGAGCTTGTTGCAAGGAAAAAGCGGGGTATAAATCTAATAAATAAACAGCCCTTCGGTGAAACCAAACGAGTGGCAGTATAGCTTGCGCTATTCGCTCACGTTCAGCCAGAATTCAAAAGAACCCAACCCCTTTCCCCCTGGCGGGCAGTGCTAGGGGCGCTGGCGCTTCTTCGCGCCCCATCGCGCGCCTGCGCAGAATACCTCGACGGGTGTCCGCTGCAAAGGCCTGACCAGAAATCTGCAGCAGCTGATTATTTGGCGCGAACGCCACGAGTACGAGCTGTGGTCGCACATAATTTCGTAAGAACTGAATTCCGTGATAAATCTCTCCAGTGCAGAAAGATAAAGCTAACAACAGAAGAATTTAATAATGCAGCCGGAACGAAACCTTTCAGCTTCTGCCCTCATCAGTCGCTGAGTCCTAAACACATGGTGAAATCTGTCTTTCTTACGTATTTAACGTAAGACGTCTGGCTGCTTTGCTGTCGTACTGCCTCGCATCGCTCTCTCCATCCCGGCAGTCAGGCATCGCATTAGACGAACCTCTAGGATCCCGCGGGGTCCTCAGGGCAGGCCCCCTCCGCAACTTCCGCTGCGCTCCTCGTTTGTTGGCAGCGGCTTCCTCTTTGCGGTGGTTGTCGCCGAGCGTAATCGTACATCTGCTCTCCTGTGGCAGAGGCTAGGCGCGTCCCGACCATCGCACCTCTGCCGGTGTTCCTTTTGGTCATCCACCCCGTATCCAGGTAAATATTGTTTGTCTGGACGATTCTCTTTCCAACGGTTCGTTTTGCGGGGGGATCGATTCCCACCGAGATGCCGAAAACTGAGCTGGAAGGGAGGGCGGGGGGTGCCTCCGTCCTGCCATTGTAATATTAAGCCATAGAATTCAAGATGGCGCCCTCATTTGCGCGCCGTTTAGCCCTTCTCGAGCAATTCGTAATCGGGAAACATCGGCTGTGTGCTTTTCACCGGGCCTTCTGGGCCTGGACATTTGGATGGAACAGGTGTTTGTGCTCTTCTTGAAGCAGAAAGGAGAGAAGAAAGTGGAATCAGAGAAGTTTTATTACTGCTATCTCCATCCACCCCCTTTTTCAACAGCGCCTTAGCTGATCTATCGTAAGAAAAAAAAATGTAGGCTACGGGCGACATAATTTGGCGAGTTGGGATGGATGGGTCTCCTGTGACGCGGTTTAGGAGTGCAGCTTCGCATGATGCCAATTAGTGCGTTGTCATTGGAGGTTAGTTCGAACTGTTCGCCCCACGCCCCGTTTGGATTTGCGATTTAGATCTTAGAGGAGTGCCTGTCCTACCTGGGCGAATGCATACTGTAACTTGGCATAATTTGGAATATGATTTACGTGCTTTGGAGAGCTTGGTAATTGAGTTGATGGGACAATGAATGGTTGGCTGAAATATGAAACGTATCTGGCTTTTTTAAAAACTCAGTGTTACAAGGTTAGCGCTTAGCTTGGACGCTGTGTTTTGGGATTAATTTCTTGTATCTATTGTAGTATTCATTACCATCTGTTTATTGCTTTTCTTATGGTAAGGACCAGGACCAGGGGGTGTAACATCTTTATCAGTGATGTCTACAGGGAATACATTCTCCAGTGTTAGGTGGACGTGCAAGTGTAAATGACTATACTGGGGAATGTTGCTTAAGAAATTTCTGGTATCGAAATAGGCTCATTTATAAGATGGAACTAAGGAAGTCCATGTTCAGTCACCAAGTCACAGAATCATAGTAGAGTTGGAAGGGGGAAGAAGGCCATAGGATCCAACCCGCTGCTAAGTTCAGGACACTGAAACTTGCTTGCTGAGAAGGAAGAAATGGCTACATGGGTGAAACATGAAGTGTTAAGAAGGAATTTTAGTCTTCTGATGAAGTCTTTATGGGAGGAAATTGGGATCACTATTTCTTAATTCAACCCTGACTGCACTTTAGAAGGCCAGATACTGAAGATGAAACTCAAATACTTTGGCCGCCTAGTGAGAAGGAAGGACTTACTAGAGAAGACCCTAATGCTGGGAACAATTGAAGGCAAAAGAAGGACGGCAGAAGATGAGGTAGCTAGATGGAGTCACTGAAGCAGTCGGCCTGAGCTTAAGTGAACTCCAGGGAGATGGTGGAGGAGAGGAAGGCCTGGAGGAATTTTATTTATTTATTTAGAGTATTTGTATGCGGTCCTTTCGCATAGCCTCGGGATGGTTTACATAAATAAGAAGAATAAAATAAAACATAATACAAATAAAATCCAGATCCGCCCTGGCTGCAATGAAATGTTGTCCATGGAGTTGCGATGGGTCTAACACGACTTTGCAACTAACAACAGTTTCTTAATTTCTCCTCTTCCCCAGCAATGTCCAAATATGCTACAAGCAGGGAAGGAGAATGAGAAGCTCATCATAATGAGTGTGAAATTGAATTTTATAATGCTGTTAATTTATTCCTTTCCTTATTGCTGGCATGGTGATATGTACATGTCAGTATCTCAGTGGCTTGAAAAGCAGTCTTACTCCTACATTGATTTGGAAAATTGATAAATATTGGGTCATCTCTGCTTCCCCAGGCCCATTCTCTCATTAATGAGCTGCTTTGTGTAGGTGGCTTTCAGATGCAGATCTAGAACTGTACATCTTGTAAGAAACACTGTTACTGGTATTGGAAAACAGTTGAGAATGTGTTATATTCATTTTATGACTAAAGGGACTTGAACCTGAGTTTCCTTGGTCTAAGTAAAACACCCAAACCTCTCCAGCATGCCAGTCCACATTATTGCTGGGGCCCTGTTATATGAGGGAAAGTTGCTGGCTGGAGGGATGCTGAGAACTGTAGGAATATTTTCTATCTAAGCATACATAGTACTGTGCTCTTAGAAACTAAACACATGATTTTGGCATAATGCAGTTCAGTCTATGAACGTTTATGCTGTGAAAGTTTTGTTAGTAACTTCTAACAATGTCAGCTCACTGTGGGACAGTCCCATCCAGGCTCTGCACACTTAACCCTCACGGGAACCTAGTGAAGCCGCACTTATTCTCTTGCATTCCTAATAGGCAGTATGTTCCTGGTAAGGAGGACTGTGTCGAGAGATTATGTGCGTGTCTGTGTTCAACACTGAGTTTGACTTCTTTAGAAGGCAGTATATCCTAGGTGTAACGGGGAGAAGCATTTTTGCATGGTCCTGCTCTGATATTCCACATGACAGTTTAGATCACAAAGGGTCTTGTGGCATCTGAAAAACTAAGACATCTATTGTAACATAAGAGACAAGCCTGCTTCATCGGATCTGACGCTTTCTTACTGTCTTAAGTTGCTTTGAAGCTCATAAGTCCCTGAACTTGAAGCTTATGAGCATCCAGGATAGAGCAGAAGCAACAGCGAAGGAAAGCTCCATCTCCCCGCTCTTCTGATTCTGCATTTTACTGAGACAACCATTTTATGAGGTACTTTGTGTGTGGGGAGAGTGGGACGCCTTGAGTATGTGGCCTCTCCTCATCTTCCCTCTCCTGGCATGGTTCTTTATGCACCAGCTGCAAGAGGATGGGGGTCAGAGTGTGGATACTCAGCTCCAAGGTTGAAGCACTGTCTTGATGATGGTGTTGAGGAACCATAGGATTGCTCTCTGAAATGTTCCTCTGCTGGGTTCAGAACAGTGCCATTTAAACACACACACACACACACACACACTCACTCACTCACTCACTCACTCACTCTCTTATTTTTCCTGAACAGCAAGAATAATTAAAAAGGAAATGTTTTCTTTATATCCTATAATTTGTATTTATTATGCATTTAGGCTGCCCAGGGACCAAAGTTCTCTGGGTGGTGAGCAAATAATAAAAAATAAATAAAATCATACTAAAGCAACAAAATACAGCCGGAATGCTCTAACAAGGACAATTACAAGTATTCAAGTGTAGCTTTAATGTGCAGAGGCCAGTGTAGTGTAGTAGTTGGAATGCTGGACTGGGACTTGGGAGACCCAGGTTCTAGTCCCCTCTCATCATGAAGTTCACTGGTGACTTTGAGTCACGCACTGCCTCTTTGCCTAACCTACCTCACAGGGTTGTTGCTATAAGGATAAAAATGGAGTGGAAGAGAAGTATGCAATCCTCCTTGGGTTCCTTGCAAGAGGAAAAAAGTGAGATATAAATGCAGTGTAACAATAATGCTATTTTTAATGTTACATTGTCTTTGTGTAAAGACTGATGAGTTTTTCCTATGACTACAGCAGAAGGATCTACATAGCAGTGGGAGGACAGCTTTCCAGGACACTGCCTCTAACTGAAAAGGGCCGTTCTTTACCAAAATAACTTGAAAGGCCAACTTCAGGAGAACTTACTGGTTCTGCCAAGCAGTCTGGTTATGCATTTAGGCCTGAACATTGATGATGGCTTCCTATTCCAGTACAAGGGTTATGGAATAGTCCTGTGGTCCCCAGATTGTGTCTCAGGGCCCACAGGTTAGTAGGAACTCAGAATGGGAGCTCCATCCCCACCGCAGCCAGCATGGAAAGAACTGCCCCAGTTCATCTCTGAGGCTGAAACATTGACCCCAGAGAAGGGGGGAAAATAGGGTGTTATGCAGGGAGAGAAGACCAAAGAGGCAGGGTATAAGGTGTCCTGCAGCTGCTGTAGCCTCCCCCTCTAAAGTCCTCCATCTTGGTGAATGAAATAAGCCCATCTAGCAGAAAGTGTAGGGTGATGAAGACTGCTACCATTGCTCCTCCCATTCTGTGTTAGGTGCCCATACACCTCCAGCTTAGGGGTTTGTGCACTTAATTAGCTAAGCTGGGATGGTTGTGTTACCACCTTTGAACTGCTGTTCTGAATGTTTATTGTGCTTATTATATATAAAGGCAAGTTGTATATGGAATTATTCCTGTTTTTCCATACCTGAGCTAGTCTGTTTACTTGCCAACTGCAGATAAAATAGTGGACTTGAGTCCATGAGAGCTTATGCCATAATCATTATTAATGATAATGCATATGCATATATTAGTCTTTGAGGTGTCAGAAGGTTCATCTTGGTTTTGCTGCAGCTGGGTCACACAGTACCACTCCGGAAGTCTCTCTGCCTAGAGAGTAATCGGTTTGAAATTTGCACCAACTTAGTTTATCTGCTCCTGTGACCAGAGTTTTCCTTGTCCAGAATGCTTGGCTTCTTGTTTCACTTGAGTCGTCTTCTCAGATTTTAGAGAGAGGCACCGCCATGACTGAGAATGATGTTGACAATGAACTGCTGGATTATGAGGACGATGAGGTGGAAAACCAAGCAGCTGGAGAAGGAGTGGATGTCCCTTCTAAGAAAGATGTCAAAGGATCCTATGTGTCCATCCACAGTTCTGGCTTCCGTGATTTCCTGTTAAAACCAGAACTGCTGCGTGCTATTGTCGATTGTGGCTTTGAGCATCCCTCAGAAGGTGAGCTCAGGGACTTTCCTGGGGGAGAGTTTGGGAAATTGGCGAAGAAACGCTGAAAGTCAGGGATTCTAGGTTCTTTGCTGCAATGAGAAATGTTAATTGTAATTTCATTTTCCACGCAGTGCAACACGAATGTATCCCACAGGCAATCTTGGGCATGGATGTCCTGTGCCAGGCTAAATCTGGCATGGGCAAGACTGCCGTTTTTGTTCTTGCAACACTTCAGCAGTTGGAGCCAGTCACAGGACAGGTACGTGTGTGACACAAAGGCCATTTTCCCTCAAAGGGGCTGGTTGGTGGCTGGTTGCAGAGGAAGCATGAAGCCCTGCTTCTTGCATGAACTTGGATCCAATGAAATGGATCTTTTCTCCAGGCAATGAAGAATATAAAAAATGATTTCTCCCTCCCATGGCAGGTGTCCGTGCTGGTGATGTGTCACACCCGTGAGCTGGCCTTCCAGATCAGCAAGGAGTATGAGCGGTTTTCCAAATACATGCCGAGCGTCAAGGTGAGAGCTGAGGGGGCTGTCCCTGTTTTCCCTCTTCAAATATGTACACAACCCTCTTACCAGCATGGGAGTAAAAAGTAGAAAATAGAGCTAGGGAAGTCTGGAAAGTGGTTGGATGATGTCTTGGATTGAGGCTGAAGCTAGTTAGAAAGACAGCACTAGCAACCTGTGTTGTAATTACGGGTTCTGCAGAATTTGCATCCAGTCTCTGCCCTGCTGGGGTTTTGCTTACCTGTTTCCATACCGTCACGGTGTTTTTGTGTCCTGGTTGCTGGGCTTTGTGTGAGAGTCTGCTTTCTCCCTCCCCCCATAGGTGGCTGTGTTCTTTGGGGGCCTGTCCATCAAGAAGGACGAGGAGGTGCTGAAGAAGAACTGCCCGCACATTGTGGTGGGAACCCCGGGCCGTATCCTGGCTTTGGCCCGCAGCAAGAGCCTCAACCTGAAACACATCAAGCACTTCATCCTGGACGAGTGTGACAAGATGCTTGAGCAGCTTGGTGAGCAGAGGTGGCATGTGCTTCAGGTGGGGTGAGAGTATAGTGGGGCGGACAGTCAGTTCCTTGGGAGCGAGCTAAATAGTCTGGAAAGCCAAAAGTCTTACTGGAGGCTGTGATTCTTGAACGGAAAGAATAGCGTAGCCGCTGAATACAAAGAACATGCAAGCATTCTGGGGTTCTTCTCTTCCTTGCATGCCAGGCCACCTGCCCCTCCTTTGGAACTTTTCTGCTTCTAGCCTTTGGGAGAGGCAGTCTTCTGGATTGCTTGTGGGCTGAAGAAAGAAACCGCTTAATTTCTCCTTGGGAGTAATTTCTGCTCTGCTTCAAACAAGGAGCAGAATACAGATAGTGGCCTCTTGACTGGCAGAAAATATAGAGATCGCTGTTAAAGATGGCATTCTCAGGAGGCTTTGTGGATTTGTATCATGCCAGGTTGGGTGACTTTCGCCGAATAACTGCAGTGCAACCATTGTAACTAGGATGACTTGTGGGAGGATAGTTAGGGGAGGGGGAGTTGAGGGAAAGGTAAAGTTTTCTATTTGGGTACACATGCTTGGGAAGGCATGGAGCAGGCTCTCTCTGGAAGTAATATCTCCATGACAGTTTGTTGGGTTGGAAAAAAAAATACTCCATCCCTTACCTCTTGGGGCAGTTTACAGTCAAATAAAAATCTTAAAAACAGAAATAACAGTATTATAAAGACAAATACACCCCAAACAGTGGCTCCTCTTTAAGAAGTAGTCCATATTTTGGTCCCCTCCTTGAATCTTGCTCCTCCAAGAGCCCAGCACAGGACTTACTATTTGTGAAATTGGAAAAACTTGCATGAGGATGTGGTCAGGTGGAGGAGGCGAAAGGACCTGTTGAATTCTCAGGCTGGGACAGATCACCCCCTCTAACCACGTGGTCCTTTCTTCCTTTCAGATATGCGCCGGGATGTCCAGGAGATCTTCCGCATGACCCCACATGAAAAGCAGGTCATGATGTTCAGTGCCACTCTCAGCAAGGAAATCCGCCCTGTGTGCCGCAAATTCATGCAAGACGTAATTACATCCCTTCTACCTTCTTTATCCACCTGGCCAGCCGGTCAGCCTCCCTCCCTCCCCACCCAGGGAAGGAGCAGGGGGCCGGAGCTTAGAATACCGCCACTGTCTACAGCACACTGGGCCGCACCGCTGCTGCCCATCGCCTACCCCAGCCCCCGTAAGGCAGCTGTAGGGCACATAACTTCCGGAAGATCATTCGGGTCACGCTAGCCAGCATATTTGCACACACGAACGACAGGCCTCTCCCAATAGGGCTAGAGAGCATTCGCACCCGACTGGCACACTTGGCTTAGAGATCGTCCACAGTTTGGTCCAGGGGGATCCATCCCAGAAGGATCCTCTTTGCCGTCACATCTGGCGGGTGGCGCACAGTTCCTAGCGTGCCCCCCTGCTCTCCTGTTTCCCTGCACTCCCTCAGCGTGGGATCCACCTGCCTGTCCGCACCGTGTTCGGAAGATCCTGGCCCACACACACCCATGTGCAGAAGATCTTGGCCCACACACACCCAGGCAAGTGTAGCTCTTTCTCTCACCACCATGCTTTGCTCAGGAGTACCCACACGCACACAACTGCTGCACGCACGTCCACGTTCCTGCCCTCCTTGCCCTGCCCCTCCCCGCCCACTCACTCTGGCTGGCACTAAGGAGACCTGCGGCGAAGGACTCCCCGAGGGATCCAGGAGATCGGCAGCAGCCAGTGGAGCAGACGCCTGATGACCTGGAGGAGAAGTTTTATCCTTTTTTGTTCTGAACTGGCAAAAGCGCATCATTTTATTTTTGATTACCCTTTTTCTCTCCCCTTGTGTTCCGTGGAAAAGGGATGGATTTGAGGGTCCTCACTGTCAGGGGGAAGCAGACTTGCCTTTTCCTGGGAGGAGCACCAAATCAGGTGGCAGGAAAGGGCATGGAAGTCAGTTGCTGCTAGATCAAGGATAGGTTCCTTCCTGCTGTTTTGCACTACAATTCACAGAATCCCAGACTTGCTGATTGGGACCAATGGGATTTGTAGTCTGCAACATTGGGATTGTAGGAAGAACTGGGTTATCTATCCCTGCTCTAGACAGAGACTTTGGGAATACTAAATCCTGGAATTAATTGGAGTAAGTCAGTGCTTCCTGTGAGCCAAACAGTGCAACTTTTGGGTCAAGGGGAAAGATGGCTTCCTGGAAAGGGGTGGGTTCATCAGTAGCTTTTTCTAAACTTGTAGAGAGCTCAGGAGCATCAGCCCATTTTCTGCTGTTGCCCAGGTGCTTTGCTGCAGGGGGTCACTGTAGGTTGCATGTTGGGTATTGTAGGGAAGTGATCCATGGCCTTGGGCAAGCTCTCCTGCCCCCAAGCGTAGGAAGAAAGCTGCCGGGAATGTCCACAAGCCCAGGCTGTGTCGTTCAGTGGGAGGTTTGCTTTTGCTTTGCTTCCAGGTGCATTTGAGGCTTCTTTTTGCTCCAGGTTGAGCAAAAACAATATTGGGTAGCAATCTAACCTTGGAAGAAGACTTGAGACTCTTAAGTCTGTGCCCACCAAAAATGTCTCAATGAAGCTGTCACATGGTTTATTATAGTTGTGCTTTGCAAAGGAGGGCACTTTCTTAGTTTAGATGGAGCAGAGTGTTTTCACAGATGGATTTGCAGGGGTCGTTCTTGACTGAGTAGGGAGAAGGTTGTTCCCCAAGATGCTTTTGGTCTCCGGAATCAGGTGTGGGGTGGGAGCAAGCCATTACCTTGTTGCAGTTCTGCGCTTTTTTAAGGGGCTGTAGGACCAGGGGTTTGTGTTTGTGACAGGGAAAGCTGCTACTCTGCACTCTTGTGCTTCTTGCCCCCAACCCTTCCTCCAAGCCCAGGTCAGCCTTGCCCTGGTCTAACCGGCCCTGGGTTTGCTCCTCAGCCCATGGAGATCTTCGTGGATGACGAGACCAAGCTGACGTTGCATGGTCTGCAGCAGTACTATGTCAAACTGAAAGACAACGAGAAGAACCGCAAGCTCTTTGACCTGCTTGATGTGCTGGAGTTCAATCAGGTGCCTTCTGGAAGCCGATCCTGCCTCAGGGATGGGGAGTGCCCGAAGGAGGGGTCCAGCCTTGCCTAGTCCATGCCACCGCTAAAGATAGGGTTGACTTTGAAGCCTGTGCTCCATATTTTACTGCCACTGGTTTTATCAATCCAAGTGCCAAAGACTGAACATGAAGCTTAAAGAATCATCTTAATTACAGCACAGAATAGCTGGTGCTGTAGCTAGGCCAGGAGGGGAAGAGTTCCATTCTACCTGTATTACTTCCTGCCAGTAAAGGCTCAGTGCTTGCTTTGGGCAGCTTTGAAAATGGGTTGGACAGGAGGGCGTAGCCCGTGCTGAGGGTGATTGGAGTTATAGGCCAGTATGTCTGCAGGGGCACAAGATGCTCACCCCATCGTAGAGCAGCTTAGCCTGTTTGTTCAACTTGTATTTAACAAACAAAACTAAGTATTCTGTGGAGGGTGTCAGTGTACAACCTGTAATAATTGAGAGGGAAATACACTTCATGCGTTTTGCTAGGTAGAATATTTTTACTGAAATCCTGAATTACCTAAAAAATACTAGTTAATATATCAAAATACGCAGACTTGCATAATGCTGTCTCTGCAGTTGGCAACCATTCGTGAAGTGGATTTTTTCCCCATGAAAAAGAAAGCACAACACTAATGCCCATCTCAGATTATGAGCCTCCATTGCTGGTAGCAGTGAAAGAAGAGCCCTAGCAGTGAACAGGTGTGGTTGACCCTGCCCTTCCCCATCCAGGTGGTCATCTTCGTGAAGTCCGTGCAGCGCTGCATAGCACTGGCCCAGCTACTGGTGGAGCAGAATTTCCCCGCAATCGCCATCCACAGGGGCATGCCCCAGGAGGAGAGGTGAGGAGCATCCGAGGCTGAGCAGAGGTGGGCTCTGGGTCCAGGCGGCTGTCTGAGGGGCCTGTTTGCTGTGATGAATTTGCTCAGACTAGAGTCTCTGACCCCTTCAGTGATGCTTCTGGTAGCCCTGAGCAAAGGCCCATACAGAAACTCTGTTGTCAAGACATAAATAGGAGTTATTCCTTTTACCAAGTGTGGTTTGTTGGTAGGAGAAAGTGTTTGAGAAAAGGCCCACATGCAATAGAATAGCATTCATATGAGTCCTCTCTGCACAAGTGATGCAGCTCTCCTCTTGGGTATGGTCATGGAGTCTGAGACCTAGCAAGAAGCATTTTTGTGCTGGAGAATATGATGTAGGAGATCTTGGCTCCTAGATTTAGCAAGAGTTTCCTCTAGTTTGCATATAGTCATTAACATTTCGTCAGTATCAGGCTGGGGGGATTCTGAGGCAAAATCTTCATTGGTTTTGGGGGTGGGTTGCAGACAAACTGCTTAACGATGGGTGGATATGAACATGGTAAGGGCAGTGATACTTGTTGAGTTAGAAGAGGGAATGAGTGGAAGCAGGGGCTCTGGGTGTTCACTGAATAGGGAGGGTTTTTCAGACACAATGGGTGTTAGCATACATTTTTGCGTCTCCCAGGTTGTCACGGTACCAGCAATTCAAAGACTTCCAGCGGCGCATCCTGGTGGCCACCAATCTCTTTGGCCGGGGCATGGACATCGAACGGGTCAACATAGCTTTTAACTATGACATGCCAGAGGATTCCGACACCTATTTGCACCGGGTGAGCGAGGCCAGCCAGAAGGGGCTTTGAGATCCATGCTGGGATGGGTCAAAGGCCAGAGTAGAGTTGCACTGATGAGTTTGCTCAGACTAGAGTCTCTGACCTGTTCTGATGTCTCTTCAAGCCCTGAGCAGCATCTTTGGCCCAGGTGGGATTGGTTATTATGTGCCAGTACCTGTTGCTTTTGCTCATCCTGTAAATGTTAGAAGGTGGCAAGGCTCCTTTTCATGTGCTGAGGCTTCTAGTTGGAACTACAGTATAGGCACCGGGTCTCATCTTCTTTGTCAACTCTGCAGGTGGCTCGTGCTGGACGCTTTGGCACAAAGGGTCTAGCCATCACCTTTGTGTCAGATGAAAATGACGCTAAGATCCTGAATGACGTGCAGGACCGTTTCGAGGTGAACATCAGTGAGCTTCCTGATGAGATTGACATCTCTTCCTACAGTGAGTACAGCTGAAAGCCACTTTCAGGGAAAAGCTGAAAGGAGAAAAGGAGTGGGAAAAGTTGGTGTCCATTGGAAGTGCTTGGCTGGATTAGGAAGCCAAGCAAGGACTTGGGACCTGAAGGAGGCATAAGATGGGGGGATTGATGGAAATCAAAAAAGATGAAATCTTGACTTAACTCTGCAAGAAAGAACCTGATTTAAACCTGGTTTCCTCTTATTACTATCTATGCTTCCTAAACAAAGGTGCAAATCTAAGTGTATAGATTACACTGTGGTGTCATTCTTAAAATTCAGCCATGCACTTTGGTCACATTTGCACATTTCCCTGTTTCTACTTGTAGAGAGAATCTTTAAAACATTTCCATCCAAGGCTTGTGTTAAGAATAGCAGTCATGATAACTTGTGAAACTGTATGAAATACAGAAAGTTGTGCACTGGGATTTTGCCTTCTCTTCTTCCTGGTGTTGCTCCTTTCTGCCTTAGTCCAGTCCCTCCCTTGCAAAAAAGGCGTATCGGCAGACAAAAATAAAATGGCTGCAGCCGTTGGGTGGGAGTACGGTCGATAGTTATTGAGCAGAATGGAGCATTCTATTTTCACGATGTGAAAAGAACACGTTTATGTCTGTCAGGTATGGTATAAATGTGATATTTGTGTATCTGGTAGATGGTAGTGATTAAGTTAAGAGATCCGCCTTAGGGTTAAGAAACTTACATTAAAATTATTTATTAGCCAAGTCTGAGAAAAACCTAGATTTTGCAGTTTGAGGTGGGGGAAAGTTCAGTGAAGAAAAATGCTGATTAAAAGTGTTTGTTTTAACATTTTATTTTGCACTAAGTTGGCTTTGTGCCCTCTTGGCAAAGTGGTAATTAATTTGCCTAAGTAGTATAAGAGATCAGGGAAAGCAGAGTGCTTGCTGGCCCTGTGGGAGTTATTTGCCATGAATTGGGTAGGCGAGGATTAATTTCTAATAGAGAACGTAGTGACAGAAGTCTGAATGGTGCTGGTTAAGGATGTTTAGAAATATCAAATCTGGACTGGAGCATCGCTGCCAGCTCTGCCTAACACTTTTTGTCTCTTTCAGTTGAACAAACCCGATAAAGGGGGCTTTGCCTCTCTACATTGACCTTGGTTCTACTTCTTGACCTCCTTCACTTCCCTGAAACTTCACGTTTAATTTCACCTGATGGAGAATGAGGTGACTGACAGTCTGGAACACACCAACACACCCCATTCCGGTGGCAGGGATGGAAGAGCTTCTGCTACTGGGCTGTGCATAGTGGAGCGTGCGTGCCTGACCTCAGCAGACTTCCTGTGCTTCCCAGAGCCCTGAGAGAGCCCTCAGGGCAAAAGTCCCATGGCTTAGCTGGTGCTAAGAGGGCCCCACTGCTGGTGCCAGTACACAAGACCTCTTGCTGATGGATTTCCACTGCCTGCCAGCCAGCCAGCCAGCAACATTTTGGGACTTCACCTGTTGTATTGCTCTAGTTCATCCTTGTGTCAGCACTACCCTTTGATCTGCCTCCACACAGGGAAGCACAAAAGGGGGGGAAGGAATTAAGGCACGCTCGGAATTTCTGGCATTTCAAATTACATTTTGTTGGAGGAAAAACTTCTGGAGGAGAGGCAAGGAAGCTAAATACATGAACATTCTTTTATATGCCCATTCATGCTGTTTTTAAGATATTTGTTTTTCTTAGTGTGCGTTCCTCCCATTTTTAATTTTGTCTGCATGTTAAAATTAATCCCTTGTCCCAGCTGGTATCTCTTGGCAGGTAAAGTAGTAGTGAAAGATGGATAATGTTTTAGCTGTGGCTTGTTCTCTCCCTTTGATACCCTCTTATTTTTTGGTAATAAAGGAGCCCAGCTCTTATGGGTGTCTAATTAAACTAGTCTTGTGAGTAACCTTGTGCTGGTGTGGCTCCATTCTTGAGGATAGAGGCTTTCTCCTCCTGTGGAATATACAGCAGCTATTTCATTGAGAAGATGCTCAAGGAGATGGAGGATGCTATGTTGCTTAAAAGATATTTAGACTACCCTTTAGTTAAACACAGGTCACTGTATAAGGAAATAAACACATCAATATAAAATAAACAGAACATCATGGACAAAAATCAGTGGGGTGCAGAAAATCTAATCAATCACTTAATTCTGTGCTGTATTGCCTGGGTAAATAAAAAGCTGTCTGGTGCTGAAAGGTCAGCATGGTTGGCTCATAAGTCAGCCTTGTAAATAAACTCCCAAATGCTCCAAGTCTGAACCTCCCTTCCGTGCAGTAGCCTGCAAATTTAGGCTGCAGAATTTTATCCCCCAGGAAGCTTCCTTGGCTTCTCTGTTGGACAGAGTGAAGGGGTGGGATGCTCTCCATCTGCTAACACCATTAGTGCCTAGATGGAATGCCATGCACTCTGCTTCATGCAGTTCTGTTTAAGCAAGTGCTTCAACATAAGACTGCGGTAGGTGAATTTCCTCCTCCAGGACATTCCATTCCAGGGAGGGTAAACTCTGCCTACAGGGAGTTTGTTGTCTCACACATGATGTCATTGTTCTTACTCCCTCAGTTTTGCTAGAATCTGGCTTAGGTTAGGGTTGAACACAGCCAGGCACCTGCAGTCATGCTGATCACAGCCAGGCACTGAGTGAGTAGAGACCAGAGAGCCGGGGTTGGATGAGGAAAGATGATGTTTTCATAGTACCCATCTCTTACTTTGCTTCATATATAATGAATGGCTGGCTGGGTGGGGGCGGGGGGGGGGCAAGTGTCAATTGAAAAGTAGTCTGTCCAAATCATGTCTCGGCTGCCCAAGAATACATGAATTTACTGAAATATTTTCCATTGCTTTGCCATGTCCATGATTTTGCCACTGAGTAGCTCAGCTCTCAGTTCTTGCCATTATGAACCAAGGCTGCATGAATCAGTGATGTGGCTGGGCAAAAGGAAAAATCGGCACCAGGCTGAATTGTAATCTTTCATAGAAAAATTGGGGGATTGAGGCATGAAAGTCTGGCTGGCAGCTTCTGAGGTAGCTGCTGGGACTACCAGGCTTGACCATGGTGATCGTTGTGATGCGTTGCTGTCTCCCTCAGTATACCTACAGTGAAAACATGTACTTTATACAGGGAATTAAGAATGGAAAACCAGATCGAAGGCAGACCAGAAGAGCTGTTGATACTGGAAGCCGTGTTGGTGTTGCATCCCATTGGCTAAAGATTGACCTCTTAACTGATAGCAGTTTCCCTTTTTCATGCATTTTATACCCTGCCTTTCTGTCAAGAAAAATGGCACTCAAGGCAATCCTAAAACTCATGACCAGGATCAGAACTGATTTAAATACATGTGGAGGCACCCTTGGCTCTTATCCCATCTGAAGCCTTGCTGCTACTTCAGTCATTTTAAGGTGTTACAGGCTTTGCCTTGTTTATAGCAACAGGAGAATGTGGACTCTGAGAATGTGGAAGAGGCCTCAAGGCAGCAACAGTTTCTATAGCAGCAAGTGTGCTCCTCCCTCGTTGCTGGGAACGAGCTTGAGTGGCAGCCACAAAGCACCTACTGGTTTTGAGGCCGATTTCATAACTGCCTGCACAGTAATGTGTTGTATTAAATGGCACTTTGTTTATTAATCTGCTAAAATGCTGGCTTTATCCCTTGTGGTGATGGTAGTGTGTTTTTCCAGTTAAAGCCTTTTTATAAAGGCATGGTTGCAAGTCTGATGGCGAAGGATTAGTGAATCCTGTAAAACAAGAATACTTCGTGAACTCCTGAGCTCTCGGTCATTGCCACAATTTGTCAGGAAGCTCTCTTTGATGAGCAAAATGCTTTTCTCTGAATTTCTATACTTACCTGCTAAGAACACAAAATAAATTATTGGGGGCTAGTTTTTCATCTTGGGGATTGGACAAAAATTCAGTCATTCTCCATGTCTGTTGAGGGAAAGCCCTTCAGCCAAATTGCACTGAAGTCACCTGTGCAGTCACTTAAATACATAGGCACACAATATTTTACTTTCATTTAGAATAATTGTAGCCCATCTTTCTTTCTTGCAAACTCTTCAAGGCAGTTTTACAATCTGGAATAATGATTTCAATGTACTCCCTCTAGATTAAAAGCATAGGGTCAGGTTAAATCACACATACTACACTAGAATTTCCAGCTGCATTAAGCTAGTGAGATCATTACATTACTTGGCCAAAGCAGGAGAGAATTAAAGTTTTGACCTGGCACCTAAAACAGTAAATGCCTGATAGATTTAGCTGGACAGTTTAATAAGTGATGAACTACAACTCCCATCATCTAACCATTGTGCTGGAGAGCAGATGGGGTTGCAGTCCAACTGTATTTGGACAGCCATAAGTTCCCTACCCCTTGGAAATTCTTAACAGTATTCTGACCATTTGTTGCAACAGATTTCAAATGTAAATCTACAGTCTTAAATTGGGCTTACTCTAGTTCTACTAGGATCAATACCAGCCTTAGTGAGTGCAAGTTGGACAGGAGCCAATGTTCTAGGATAGCGCAAGAATTCTGGACACATGAGAAAAAAGTCTTACAAAAAGAACTGTGACACCTTAAGCACTAATGCTCCAGTGCTGACTGCTGTGTAGGTTAAACTTTGCAAGCTAAAGATCATTTTGGTATTTGCATGAATAAATGGTGACTATTACGAACACTGGAGGAAGTGGTGCGGCAGAGCAATTGTGAAATTCATTTGTTAGCTTGCAAGTGCCAGAGGCCTCTTGTTTTCAGTGTAAGAGATGCTTGGTGGTGGTGGTGGTGATGGTTGTTGTGAAGTCGTGTCTGACCCATCGCAACCCCATGGACAACATTCCTCCAGGCCTTCCAGGCCTTCCTGTCCTCCACCATCCCCCAGAGTCCACCCAGGCTCACGCCCACTGCTTCAGTGACTCCATCCAGCCACCACCTCCTCTGCCGTCCCCTTCTTCTTTTGCTGTCAATTGTTCCCAGCATTAGGCTCTTCTCCAGGGAGTCCTTCCTTCTCATTAGGTGGCCAAAGTATTTGAGTTTCTTGGACTTGGTTGCAATAAGAAGGGCTCTTGCAATGCAAACCTGCTTTTTCAGGACTGCTGTTGAAGATTTCTCTGGTTCTTGTAGCTAGGGATACTGGATGTTTCCCTGATGGGTCAGGCTCTGAATGCAAATATCTAGGCACTCCACTGAGATTGCCAGGCTCAGATGTGAAAGTGCTCCTGCACTTTTAAGAGTAGCACAAAAGTAGCAATTCCACTAGTGAGAATTTTCTCCTTCAATGTTACAAGGAAAGCAGTGTTGATGGAACACAACCCTTTCTATACAACCTTTAAAGCAAAGTTGGGGAACTTTAAGGGTTCAGGGGTCCCCAGAAAGTCACCCCTACTTCTCCAGGTGGCTTCACCCCTTTCTCACAATTTACATCTTTGGTGCAATCCGCCCCCCAATTCCAAAACGTCAAAGGCCTAAGCCAAGCTTCTGGTCATAAGATATTTAAGATAAATACAACAGCCAGTATGGTGTAGTGGTTAGGAGTGTGGGCCAGGGACTCGGGAGATCTGGGTTCTAGTCCCCAGGCAACCATGCAGCACACTGGGCAATTTTGGGCCAGACACAGAATTGGCTTAACCAACCTCACAAGGTTGTTGTGAGAATAAGATTAAGAGGAGAAGGATAATTATGTAAGTTGCCCTGATTTCCTTGAAAGGAAAACGTCAGTGTATAAATATAATAATAAATGAATAAAAATAAAAGATGCTCATGTTTTTAGCCCTGTTTCAGAGGGCTAAGGCTACGGCTGCGCTCTCCTCAGGCCAGGGGCAGTTGGGGCCTCAACTACCTCCTGGTTCCTTCCAGGAAGCATAACCCACTCAGGCCAATCCAGAACATCTTTCCTACTGTTACATCAGGTCCCTTCGCTTTCAGTTCTGGAATGCACCCCACGGAGGTTTTCCAAACCTGAGTTCGGCCCCTGGCTGAAAGAGGTTCCTCACCCTGCCAGAATGATACAGGAGACTTTCCCAGGCTGTGGACTGCGGTTCTTCCTTTCAGCTTGGTTTCTGTCCAGAGACTCTGGGAGCAATGGCTCACCAACCTACTGTCATTACTTTTCTGGAAAACTCATCTCGTTTTTGTGGACCAGGAATCCAAGCTGATGAGCAATTAGTGCTGGGCTAGTTGCCCTCTAAGGGTTAGTGCAACAAAAAATGGACTAACCTCAATGGTAGAATAGGTAGGCATGGAGCTGTACTTGATGTGTTGATCTGCTTCTGGTTGCCCCTCGTCATGCAGAGGTCTTGAGCACAAGATGCTTTCTTCTTATGCCTGTTGACCTTTAAGGCCCCAAACCGCAGATCTGCAACCTGCCTGGCTCTTCAGACGCATTGGAAATGTTAAGGGAGTGCTGTGGGTGAGTCAGAAAAGGGCTACGGAGAGGGGCTTGCCCATTCGTAGAAAGGCTGGTTGTGTCCAAAAGCCAAACTTGTGAGACTAAAAGCAACTTGCCCAGGAAACTTAATACAAGAAGCAACCCTTCTGAACACAGAAAAGATGATACTGGAGGGCAACTCTTCACTTGACATTATGCAGCCTCTGCTTAGTCCTAGCTCAAATCAAGGCAGGACTTGTCTTGAGAGCAGAATGACCAAACTAAGGCTGTTGCGCTTTGGGCACATCATGAGGAGGCAAGAATCCCAGGAGAAGACAATCAGGCTAGGGAAAGTCAAAGCCAGAAAAACAGGAAGACCAAATAGATGGAAAAGGAAAGCACAACGTTGAGTTTTTAATTGCTGAGCAGGGCTGTGAAGGATAGAACATTTTGAAGGCCACTCATTCATAGAGTCTCTGTATGTCGGAGACAACCTGATGGCATGAAACACCATGTCAGTCTCTCAGTTAAAGAAAAAAATCATTAAAATAG